AGCTGCGGCGAGCGAAGCGTCAGTTTTCAGTAACATCGAAGGAAGGAACATCTTCCTGTTCGGATGATTGCCATGACAGAACAGCAACTGTAGGGCTCGGTTACTGTAAAGGGGAGGGGGCTTATACCGGAGCGTATGTTTTTGGGGTTTTTTTTATTTAACAAAGCAGAAGCCAGTACCAATACAGCATTAATCTAGATTACATTTAGTTTATTCGGCTTTTAGTATCCCGTCGTGATCCTCAACACAGCAAAAAAATTTATTATGCAGTAACAAATTAACATAAAGAAGACATGATTAATATTGGAGCCAGACTCTGATAGACATCAGAGGCAGGCAAGATCAGCAATTTACAAACAAGCATGATGTTATTTTACTGCCATAGTTATGACAGCCAAGCTGCCAAAAGATTTCAGTTATTAGGTAAAGGTACGTAATTGGAAGTTTGGAAACATATATTTGTTTGGCATATTGAATCTAGAGGTTAAAAATGTCTGTTCAAGAATATAGTACCAGACACTATTATTTAAAAGGGTTTATAATAACAGCACATTTAGTCACTGTGTTTTAAAAGCGAGGGCTCAAAGCATTCATCCTGGATTACTACAAAGCTGAAAGTAATTGAGTGATGGAGAAAATAAGATATGATCTAACAAATGATGTATAAGCTCTACACATATTACAGCTTGTGGATTTCCAGCAGCTGGTTCTAGGATGGTGTAAATTGTGTCTCACACTGTTTCTTCTCTGAAATTTCTTCCGTTGGTACTTAAAATACCTATATGCTATTTTTTTATCGTTTTTTACGCTTAAAAAGGACATTTTCAACTATTTATGCAGTGATATCTTCTGCATAAGTAAGTGAGTACATTATAAGAAGGCTAGTTTCATCAATGAAATAGTATTTCTCTTCTGTCTTGGAGCCACTTCTAGCGTTAAATAATTTAGAAGTGATTATGTTGTTGGTGATGTATAACAATTAGCTTTTGTAGGGGGGAAAAAGACCCTGTGAGAATTTGTTAATGCTCTTGTATTCCTCAGTAGAATGTATTTATTTTGTGAACAGGAATTTCTAGCTGAATATCACAATAGAGATATTAAACTAGCATCTAAAATTTGGTTATTTAATTTAGGGCTCGGTAGGACAAATTGGTCCTCTGTGAGCACTGCCAAGTTCTTTGCAAGTAGTGCAAGAAAGATGATCTGACTTTAAAGAGCTCTGGAAGCTATTATAGAATTGCCAAGTGCTTCCCTGACAGTGTAAAGTTCATGTGGTAATTGACTGGACACAGCTGTTCTATGAACTGTTTGTGGTGACGCTGCTGGTCCTTCTCTTCCTGGTGTTATTGTGATGATGAAATTTGTCACAATACAATGCCTATGAACTTCAGAGCCTTGAATTTCCTGTTACTCCTTTTTTTTTTCTTTTTATATAAACTATGCCCAAATAGTAATTTCAGAGTTTTTTAGCAGTTGGGAGTTAACAAATGTGTATAGAAATGTGGCTTTGTTATAATGATATAAACTGATGTCAGAAAAGATGGCAAGAACACTAGTAAAATAAATTCCTTCATTTATCTTATAAAACGATACTTCAACAAACAGATTTCTGTGTTTAATAGAACTGCCCCTTCTCTCTACTTGACGTACACAGTTTACATATATTTCATGTTTTTGGATAATGTAAGGCTTAATATTTCAATGTTGTCAGAATTTTTTCTTGCAGATTTCTATTGCCTTAATAGTTAAGGATGTGAAATAGTAATGAACAGTTACAGGACCTCACTCCTGGCATTCTCCATCCCTGAAACTACTATTTTGGTGTTTGGCTATTTTATCATTTTGTTTAGAGTCAATGCTGTATTCTCTGGAAGATTTTATTTTGCCTTTACACGAAGAGCTACACTGAGAAAGTCTGCAGATTATATTTGAAATACATCTATGTGTGTATTTCTACATTTCCCCCTTTCAGAACCCTGAATTTTTACATAACTGAATTGAAAGATCATTCATATTCAGTCTTTCAGATTGTCTGATAGTTTCTGAGAGTGAACACAGCCTCTAAATTTGGCATCTGCGTATTTGAAAGTGTAATGTCTTGTTGGCAGTGTTCAGATTACTCACAGGGCTAAGGTCAAGAATTGGTTGAAGCCTCCCAAGATATTCAGAGATACCTGCTTAGTAAGTACGGTACTTAAGTAATGAACAAGCTCACACATAGTGCCTAGGGACACAGGAATTTTATCTCAATTGAATCCTCTAGGACAGTAGACCTTTTTGAAATATTTGCTCAGAAATATTCCTTACCTGCTCTTTCCATCCCTTAGGAAAGTCTCCTCTCCTCCTCCCAGCCCTTGGTTGTTATTGCCTGCCCACACAAACTGGTTTTTAGTTTGGTTCTCTGCCTGCTCAGCAGGGGCAATGTCAGCAGCTGGATTTATGCTTGTATTCCCAAATGCCAGTTCTGGCAAACCCCCCACTGACTCATTTACTAGCTCTTGATTTTGTTGTAACAGCACTTGGTGATCCTTGTTTGGGATGAAGGTCAGTAACTTCCTTCTCCTTGGAGAGATTTAGTTGTCTAGAAAGAGAAAAAGCTACCACTGAGCAACTGCAGCTCTTCGAATGTCACTTTTTAAAAAGCTGCTACCTCTTACTTTAATCTAGCTAGGCAATGAAAAATACAGGCAGAGTTCTTCTTGTGAAGAAATATGTTTTATTAACAGCTGGAAGTTTTATAAATTAATTGCAAACACCAGCATGAGTTAAAAAAGCCCACTTTTATCAAACCTCTCAGCCTGGTGTTGCCACGTTTTAAATGGCAGATTGTGGTATAGCTTTCTCTTGTGAAGGATATTTAGTGGTAGCACTAAGTTTTTAAAATTTTATGCTAGTCTCAAGAAAATGAGCATACTTTTATGTATACATTCTTGCAGCCAGTTGCATATCCTATTTATGGTAGGACTCGGTAAGTTTTTTAAAATTTGGCTGATAATTTATAGTAGATGATCACGGTTTAACCTGCCTCTGTATGATAAAAGAGTTCAGCCAATTATGTAGCTGTACAAAAACTTAGAATAAAAATAGTTATTAATTTATGTAGAATCTTCCATATATACTAAATTTAATATATGCAGCTACAGTTTCTTCATAGCTGTGGCCTTATCTAGAAATGAATTCTTGAACTTCCCCTGAATGGATGCCTATGTAGATAACTGTTTCACCAGCCAGCTGAACCTGTCTTTTGTCTACGTCCATCTTGGTTTTGCCTTTTTTTTTCCCCCCCTGTAATTTCTCAGTTTTTTTCTCCCATAATCACTCATCACCTCCATGGCTTGTTTCTTTCTGCTTACATAGAACAGTTTCTCTTTATGTTCAACCTTTAAAAGTGTTAGAGCCCCTTTTTTTACTTTCCTGTGTTAATAGATTACACAGAATATTAAATACATTTGAGAAACTACCAGACCAGTCCATAAATGTTTCTTTTTTGAAAGTCAGCATTGGGAACTTGCAGATTATTAGTATGATCACGTTAATGATCTGTGATCATAGCAAATGTTGAGAAGTTAGACTATCCTACATACATTACTTGTAATGGGATTAAGACAACATTTTCATACTGAATTTGTGGTACTTTAATTTTCCCTCTTGGTAAATACATACAGGTGGTTACTGAAATTTGAGTTGCAGCTTTCAGAAATCATGATAACTGATTAACAGTGAGGATCTCTTTATTACCATCTGCAGCAAAGTTTCATGGAAAAAAAAAAACAAAACACAGTGATAAGTAATATATAGAAGCCTTATCCTGAAGTTTTTATGCTACTGTGTAAGAAAGTTTGAAAAGATACTTTGAGTGCTCAGAAACAAGAACCAATCTTTAATGCATTATTATTGAACTCACTAAGCTTTATCTTAATGTCAGTCACAGATTAATTATGTATGCTGCACTACTTGTTTTTTGACAAAGACATTTTTGTTTCTCCTTACATTTTATGGCACTTCTATTGACTCTAAACTATTTTTATTAAACTTTAAAGCAAGTCTGAGTATGATAATTCAAAATGTTCTGATGGTTAAGGCTTCTTAACTTGCATGGGACATAGATAATATTTGGTACTGTTTGCAGAAGCTTGTTGTTAATTTTGTAATTCTTTAAGCATAAAAAAAGTTGGAAAAAATCTAGGTTTCTTCTGGGTTTTGTTTCCAGTATTTAGTTGCTCCACTGGAGACAGATTACAATTGTCAGCATAACTTTTAAGAAAACTTTTTTTTTTCCTATTTAGATCAGTCCTGTAATTTTATTTTTCCAGCATGTGCCGAGTCTGTAAATAAATACAGGTTAAAACATTTATAAATGGCTGTCAACATTTAATTTGGATTTTATGTCCAGCAGGCTCGCAGATGGGTCAGGGACTCTGGAGAGTTGCTAGGAACCAGCAGATGCAACACCAAGGGTATGGTGGCCCAGGCTACCTCACCAGGGAGCATGGCAGGAGGACAGCCACCAACAGCACTACCAGTACAAGCCATCGCAAACAAGCCCCAGGAGGCATCGACATCTACCACCTGCTGAAGACAAGAAAATCTAAAGAGCAAGGAGGATTCATTAACCTGGAAATGCTGCCACCAGAGCTTAGTTTTACCATTTTGTCATACCTGAATGCAACTGATCTCTGTCTAGCTTCATGTGTCTGGCAAGATCTTGCTAATGATGAGCTTCTCTGGCAAGGGTAAGGAAAAAAATATCACCCAGACATAGTAAAAATCATTATTAGATTTTAAGTCGTCTCAATATGTGCTTTTCATCATTCTAGCTGTAGCAAAGGTTCCCCAAGTTAAATGAGACTTGACATAGGCAAAACACAAATATAATTTAAAAATGTGTTATTCTCAGTTTCTAAGTACTATCAGGTATGACTGGAGATTACTACATACACAAGTGTGCTTGGTGCAAATATACACTACACACTTGTTGTTTGACATATGGGGAGAAAAACAAGGACTTGTCTTCACTTTCATATTAGCTCAAAGCACATCTCAAATGTTTGTATTATTACTTCTTTGAACTTCAAACAAGTACCTAGCTTGAGCAAGCAGACCTATTCAGCTGAAGCTCCAGGCAGAAAGGGATTGGAACTCATCTATACTTGTCTGAGAGCAACTTAAGTGTATGGTTTTGGGAATATGGTCATGGAAGGGGGAAGGTCAGTTCTACACATGCATCAAGTGGAATTTCTGCAATCTAACAGCTGAAGTAGATTTAACATATGCAGAGTTTGTATATCCGGGAAATAAAGGAACATTCTATCAAATAATATAACATAAAAGAACATTTTTAAATTTTTATTTTTGATGTTTTACACCACTAACAAAGATTTATGCAACCATACTTATCTTTAGAGTAGATGGTCAGCAGAACTTTTGTTTCACAGCATATTCTTACCCCTTAACAGACAGTAAGTAGTATTACTGTAGTAGTTGGGTTGTTCACATCTTGTTTGTTTTCCTTTCATTGTGCTCTACGTCTGTTCCTTCCCTCATGTATTTCTTTGCCCCTCTGCCTTTGAATTAAGCAGCTTCCCACCCTATCATGCTTTGTGAATGCAACAATAAGATAATGCAATTTTAACTTCTTAGTCACAGCTCTTGGGGACTGTTGTCTTGTCAGGAAAGAGGAATTCTAGTGAAGATCCTGCTAAGCTTCTCAGTTTATGTATATCCGCATGCATTGTATTGTACTTGGTTCTTGGTATCAAAACCACACTAAACACAAATAAATTCCCTGGACCAAAACCTGGAGATACTAGAGCTTCTTAACTGTATGCAGTATATATTCTTTCCTCAAAATTCATCCTGGAAAATAGCTCAATAATTTTTAATGAAGTCTTCCCAAATAATACTGAGCTCAACATATACACTTCAGTAGTGAAGATGTGTCCTGAATTAGCAAATTAATAAAAATCTATCTTTGCATAATCTTTTTTTGGCATTTTAGCCTTTAGTATCCCACATATATTTGGTGTGTTTTGAGTTTAGGTTTTGGCAAGTCCTGTGGCTGAAGTTCTGAACTCAGTCCAGATAAGACCCAGGTTCCTAACTGAAAGAAAAAAAAATCTCTCCCGTGTCCTAAGTGGCAACCTGACAGGTCCTAAGCCTTTTGCCCAATTATTTACAAAATAAACATGTTGAAGCAGACCTACCAGTCCAATACAGAAACAAGGTAATAGAGTGCCTAAACAATTCAAGGGAATTTCAGGTGGTGTCATCAAGGAGACTGAGATGAGCAACGGGAACTGATGAAACAGACATGGAGTCAGCGTGGCATGGAAGGGAAAGAAATGGTACTGATGGAAGGTACAGAGGTGTGAGGCTGGACCAAATAATTAGGACTGGTAGGACAGTGATGGGGAAAGTGACAGGTGGGGAAAGCGGTGAGTTCACAGTGTAATTCTGTGCAGATGTGTCTCACTCCACAACTGGGGCACAAGAGAAGAAACAATATTTTTAGTCTGTCATGGTGCAGGAGAGGAGCGTGTCACAGTTGACAGTGTTCAGATAGGAGAAGTGCCACACGTTTCAGCTCTGTGGATGTTATGATGTCACCTACTAGGATATGTTTGGGGATTGCACTCAAATACAGCAAAACTTGTATAAGAAGAGAACAGTAGTTGTGTAATTGGAGACCAATAATACACATGCAGAAGGCTTCATAGCTCAGTGTTAACAAGCAAGCTCATTCTAACTTTTTTTATAGTTTATCTGGCTTTGCAGTGTTGATTACGTTTTGCTTCTGTAAAATACATTAAATACAGAAAGGAATTTTGATAATACAGTAATTCTATTTTCATAGGTTGTGCAAATCCACTTGGGGTCACTGTTCTATATACAACAAGAATCCGCCTCTAGGATTTTCTTTTAGAAAATTGTATATGCAGCTAGATGAGGGCAGTCTCACCTTTAATGCCAATCCTGATGAGGTAAGTGAACTGTTGCTGATAAGTAATAAACAGTTAAAGTAATTGTGATTGTTTTATAATTATAGCCATATTAAAAGCCAAGTTTTGATAGGTACTTGTTTTACTGTAGGAATGGTTAATACTAAGTTAAGAGCCATATCTTGATCTTTTTTTGCGTATGGTACTTGTGCACATCATTTACATGGCTTGCCTCTTAAGTGCTCTGTACAGCAGTCTGACCTATGGGTGCCAGCAATTCATAACCACATACTGACTTAGGAATGAGGCAGAGACCATAAGTGAAGAGAAAATTGTGAATTTAGAAAGGATGATAATATGCTTACATAAATTAAAATGCCAAAATGGTTCTGCAGAGTATGAGTTTGATCCTGCTTCAGTAAAAGCAGGATGAAATATAATGTAAAGCCATCTAATTCTACGACAATTACGGTTTCTTGTGAGAGATTTTTAAATATTTTCATTGTCAAGAAGCAAGTCTCAAATTATTATGAAAAAGATGTATTGCTGCACTGTCCTAAAGATCAGCTTGTTTGTTAAGCATAATCTTTATAATGTATAGCAACATATTTATTTTCAAAAAATACCCCATGTCAAACTAAAAAGTTTCAATTTATTAACTACTGTAGCTGGCTGAAAAAGTCAGTTTCTGCTTTTTCTGTCACCTTTCAAAGAAGAAGAGTTTGAGAGTATGCAGCTTTCACCTGTTCACACAACACCCAAGTGAGAGAGTCTCTGTTGTGTACAAAATCAGACTCCTGCTTCATGTTTCCTAGGAAAAGAAGGTACACAGTACTGAACAAAAAGCAGTGTTAACTTCTTGCATGTATTTATAGATATACAAGCAAATGGTAATTGAATAAATCCAAAGTAGCAGGAGGATTAAGAAACATGAAAAGATGCACTTGTAGGAGCTAATAGTTCCCACTGACGATAGGATACAGAAAACATGAACTTATGTCCACAGGGTGACATAAATAAAGCAGCTGTTTGTATTATGACAATGATATGATTATGTTTAAAATCTTACCTTATCTCACATTCTGCTTCATAAAAGAAACCCACTACTTTTTTTACTCACAAACGACACTGTTTTGTAATGTCTCTGGTAGAGCTCTGCCTTGAACTGTGATGTGCAAGTGCTGAGGCGCCTTATCAGCGCCAAGCCGCCTCAGTGATTGGCGTGGGCTTTCAGCAGGGGTTTAGTGAATTTAGTAATAAATATAGAGCTTTAAACATTGAATACATTTAAGTGACCTAAATACTGCGTTTTCAATAATAAAGCAAGTTTTAATTGGTAACAGCTTTGACACAAATTTTTCTTTGTTTTCCATTTTGTTTTAACATACTTTTTCACTTACTATGTAGTTTATCATGTGCTGTTATATTCCGACCTAATTTAAAGTTATCTCGGTAGGATTAAAGCATTTGGAGCCTTCACAAAAGGCACTGAATTAAAAAATTCATTAATTTGAAAGGAAATTGAGATCTACAAATTAGAGCTATCTTATAGTATACTTAAACTAGTTATTAAATTTATCATGCTACACTTACTTCTTCTGGGTTCATTATGGTTATGTTATATAACAGTAGTGCCAACAGTCTGCTTCAGGCCTAGCGAGCGACCAGAACCTCAGGATATCTCCTAAGGGCTTCTGTTCCTCTCTCCCTGTGGAGCACCATAGCCTGGCAGGAATCATTCAGGGCCTGAGTTTCAGAATTGACAAATACTATTGCTTTTATTGTTTACAACTGTAATATTGGCAGAATTATTATTATTATAAGGACACTGTGACTGGAATATATGATATGACATTCCACTATTACAAATTGTGTCTCCGAATTTCCTGCCAAACTCTGCTTTACATTTGATGACAGACGTGATCAAATTACTATAAAAATAGGAATACTTACAGCCACAGGAGCAAGATTCTCCAAAGGACACCGCCCATGTCATGAAAATGGGTAACCAGGCTCCACAGCAACAGCTCCAGAGCTAGCGGTGGCTCACGGGGTAGGGAAGAGCATCTACACACTTTGTGGTAGGATTTTCTGGTTAGCCATTGTTGTGTGCATGGTTTTGTGATATCTGCTGTAATTTAACGTGTTGATTGTGTGCATGAGCTTGCATAACTCATAGGAGCTGCTCACATTCTGCAGAAGGGATGTGTTAATCACATTACACATAACTGGGAAAAAAAAATCTCCTGTGCATGTTTAGTTTCTCTTTTTGTTTGTTTGTAGGTTTTGGGGTTTTTTTTTCATATGACAGCACCATTGTAGCCAACATTTTTGAACTTTGTTTTTGTTTCTTTAGAGAGAGTGGGTGGTTTCTTGTTAGTATTAACACTTGAATATGAATATTATGTTGTTTAATCTGCCTTCATGGTCTCTGCTGTATTTTATTCTAAAGAGTGTATGATGTATGTGAAATGTTTCTCATGTAGTGCTCATTTCATATCTCATATGCTTATGACTCAGAATTTGTAAGCAACCAGAAGTTATTTCCCACTGTTTTGTATATTGTTTCTAACTCCCTACAAAATATTTTGTCCAGTTTATTACATGGAGATATGATATGTAATTAAAATTGAAACTGAAGGTGGAAAAAAGAATCCTTTAGTCAGGAAAGAAGATTCATTTTTTCTTTATTCTTAATGATCGTAGTTCTAACTTACTCTGTTTAATGGCTTCTATTTTTATGAATCTATTGGAATCCAGACTGTAACAAAACTCTCAGACTTTATGTAGCATAATAACAATAAAGTACAGTATGACAGTACTTACACTAGGCTGGGATTTGCACTCTTCTGATTGTCTCATTCATTACCAGCTGCCCATAGTTTTTGCCAAGGCCACTGTTCTTGATTATAAATTAAATGTTAGCCACTTGTGTAAAGCTGCCTTACCTGACTGCTAATTATAGATAGTCTATAGATGATGTAGTATTTACTGTGCTGTATATTTCTAACTAGATTTCTCAAAAACTTACCTATTTCATAGTGATCTACTAAGAGAGCCAATTTTGAGATGCATTGATTTATCTGACCTAGGAGTATTAAAACTGTGTGTATGTTGTAGAGGGAAGAAACTATTTTGTGTGATCTCTAAAAAGCTGGAGTGGACCAGACAGCTGAAAACTTTAGAAAACTCTCAATTAAACTCAGTTAAAGTAAAACTTTAATCTTCTAAATTATTAGTTATGGATTCTGTGTGACATGAAAAATATTTCTGTGTTCTACTTGTGATTTCTGCCATCATAAGTGTGTATCACTGAGACTGTATTTCTAAAGCCTGCAGTGAGAGAGACAGTGTTGGAAATGTATGTTCTATTGTGTCCACATTTGTCACTAAATGACTTGATTCATAACGTAGGAAAAGAATCTTTAAGATTTCCATTGCAAAATACATCAGTACTGTGCATTTTGTTCCAGAACATACACCATGAAATATATTCATGCTCCATTTCCCTAAGCAAATGGGAATAATAATACCATACCTGTCTAGTTATTATTTACTAGTAGTGGTACCTAGAAGCCCCAATTAGAAATTGAGGCACTTCTGTGCCAGATATTGTATAAATACTATGACAGTTGGTACCCCAAAGAATTTATCTAAATAATTAATCCAGCATTTAAAGCCAAATTCCTACATTTCCTCAACCTTTATTTGATAATGTTTTAATTTGGTTGGTGATCCAAATTCTTTTTTAAATACAGTACAGACTAGAAGAAAATCAGCATTTTATGTTGATATTTATGTAATTGTACCAAAATGCAGAGGCAAATAACTCACAGAATTATGAATCACCTAAAAATGTTAATATGATACTAGTGATTTCCTTAGTCACCTTTTAAAACTGTTATAGGCTGAACACACAGAGCATGGCATTTAAACCCAAATTCCTACATTTCTTCAACCTTTATTTGATAATGTTTCAATTTGGTGATCCAAATTCTTTTTTAAATACAGTACAGACTAGAAGGAAATCAGCATTTTATGTTGATATTTATGTAATTGTACCAAAATGCAGAGGCAAATAACTCACAGAATTATGAATCACCTAAAAATGTTAATATGATACTAGTGATTTCCTTAGTCACCTTTTAAAACTGTTCTAGGCTGAACACATAGAGCATGTATGCAACCATTTATGTGAAATCTGAAATTTAAGATATGTGAAGTTTGTCTCTCTTGACAAAGGTACTCGGTTTGTCACACCCGGTTTGTGACAGGGGGTGTCTTTGTGTGCATATCTAAACACCAAAGGCAACTACAAAAGTTTTAATGTTGACTGTTCTGCTGAAGTGTTCCAAATGTTCTCTGCTTTAGCAGAGAAAAAAAAAAACAATAAAAAAATGAAACAAGTATTGGAAAAAAAAAATATGGATATAAGTGAATGGAAAGTCCCCTGGAAACGGGCAGAAAGCAAGGCAGAGGTTTCAGTACTATAATAGAATAAGTTGTTAAAACAAGCATCATGTGACTGGACAAGAAAGAACAACTGTAAAAAATAACATAGAATAACAACAAATGGCTTCCATTGTTACTATCAGTCTATAGATATGATTGTTATTTACATATATAATTTAATACTTTCATAAACCAAGATTTTATCCAGACCTGTCTGAAATTCAGTGGTGACATTCTTGTCACAGTGCTCTTTAAGGTATCTTTCCTAATCCTCTAATGCTAAGAACATTATAATGACAAGCAGACTTTTCATATAAGTTAGGCAGACACAGAGCTACTGGAAGTCTTGGCTGTTGTATTGTTCACCTAACTACTCTTCCACTAAATCACAGTTAGAAGAACAAATATACCATCAGTGCTCATCCTGCATTGTTCCCTAAGTGTTAAAAGTGCCTCTTCAGCCCTTGTGGCACAGATCTGCCTACCTGTCATTGCCATTTAGTCAAATGCTTCCTAAGAGCCTCAGTACATGTCTAACAAATAATCTTACCATAGATTTTAACAGTGTATAGAACTTCTTATTTCAGCTAGTGTACCTGCTGCAAGTGACCATTTTAGCTACCAAAAGTGATCTACTTCAAGTGTGGGCTCACATTTCAGGAATCCAGGGCAGTGTTCACAGTGTTACAAAAAGCAGATTGAGTGACATGCCATAACTCTTGTAAATAAGTTTCATTTGCTATGAGCCCAAATTTAAGAACTTTAAAGAGAAATCAGGTGTCTGTTGTTGCAAAGTATTTGTGGGAAGAAGTGAAAAGCAACTAAAGATGATGGCATGTGCTCAAGTATATTCTATACTCTGCTTATTTGTGAAGGAGATGAGAAAAATTAGTAACAGGAGTGCATTCACAGAGAAAAGTATTGTCAAGCATTAGATGTCATGGGAAGATAGGAAATTAGAGACTAGGAATAAAAATGCTTTGCAAAGAGTTGGTAGCTTATCAGGTGAAGATGCTACAATGGATTGAAGTCTAGTGCATGAAAACTTAACGTGTGGTGCTTGCTGTCATGGAGAAACCAACCTATTGTCTGTCTTAAAGGTATTATTTTCATCCTGCCTCATCTGTGACATGCCAGGTATTTTCTGGATATGTTGCAGAAGTCTTTGTTAAATAATTGCAGCAGGAACACTACCAAGTCTTCCTTGCTAGGCTTCAGTTTGTGTTACCCTAAGCAAATACCTAAGTCTCATTAAGTCAGGACATAGGTAAAGGAGATGTTCTGCTACTAGTCTTGTATAAGTTACCAGACTGCTTCAGGAATATGCAGTTGATGTTCATTTTTCATCATTTCCCAGTTTTAGTTTCTTATTTAGCTCTAATTCACGACAACCTTATGTTGCCCTTCTATGTTATGGACAAACTTAAATACAATCTAATTTGGACTTAAATTCAAGGTTATAGTGCAATACTTGCTTCATTACAGTCCTAAATAAAGCGTCTTCTTACAATTGCAGCCTTAAATTGCTAGGATTTTTTTTTTGTTTTACCTGTATAAAACCTTTACATTTTCATTCATTTTATAAAACATCCTTTTAACACACACAAAAGTATGCTGATTAACCGCTTTTATATATATAAGCCACATTATAGACTGATAAAAACAGATGGATAACATTACAGGTGTTTGTTGGCTTTTCACTTGTGTTATCAGTATCTTAAATATTTATTTTTTTTTAAGTGATATGAGACTTTTATTAATCCACTTGATAAAACGACTTTCCAAACCTGCACTCACTCCTTTCTTTAGTAAAATTGAAGAACACAGGGAAGTTAATTTATATACTGAATGACAGGCTACCCTAAAACTCAAAGGACAGACTTGCAAAATATTGTGAAGTCCAATATCAGAAGATTTGTGAAAAAATATTTCAGAAGTTTTTTAAAGGTGATTTAGGTCGTGGCCTTGGTACATTACCCTCTGCAGAAATGCACTGTCCTACACATTTTACATTATGATATAGTCAAGAAGTACTGTGCTTAAGTATTTAACACTTCTTTTCAACAGAAGTTCAGAACCAATCTCAACCCCAGCCAAATTTAATTGAGACTAGGGGGTTATTCTCAGGTTTAGATTTTTGTTGTTGAAAAAGGTGAACATTTTTAAAATCCATTAGGTTCATTTTAATTTCTGAGATGGTTAGGAAAATAGTTTTATGCTTTGTGATATTTCAGTGAACAGAAAGAATCCAGAATATCACTAAAATACTTTTTAAATGAAATTTGATATGTATATTCTATAAGAAATATGTGCTTGGTAAAGTGTGGAAAATTCTGAAAATGACAGTATGAATATAAAATACATACAATTGTTCTATCCTTTTAAACTTTTATTTTGATGTTAGGCAGTGTTCTTTTTTATGTGGATGCATATTTACATATGTTGATATTTACCTATGCTCTGAAATCAGTGTGCTTGTGTTTATTTGCATTATTACACATTTAAACAAATGCATTTAATGCATCTGTTTGAATGTGATACATTGTATAAATGTGACAACATTAATGTTTTAATGAAAGATATTAAAGTCTAAACACATTATGGCTAAGATTTTCTTATTTACAAAAGTTATGAAATTAAAAGTTATGGTCCCCACAGCATTTAAAATACAATTACAAAAATATGAAAACCAAAATACTAGTCTACACTATAAAGAAATTGAGCATGATGGTTCTTGGATATTTTGGGGTCCATAATTTCAAATTTCCTGCTGTGTGTGCAAAATCTCAACCATAACAACAAATTGTTTCTTTGCATTTAATTTCTAATTTTAGCGTGTATCGTGCATGTTGAAATGTGATTTAGAGGAACAGGAATCATTCTGAAAGGCCAACCAATTAGTAGGATTACGTTCCTACGTTGCCAAGTACAGTTCTTGTTCCAAAACACATTATGAGGACTAAATGCATTTATCTATATGTGTATTTTATCTCAGGGAGTCAACTACTTTATGTCCAAGGGCATACTGGACGATTCACCGAAGGAAATAGCTAAGTTCATCTTTTGTACAAGAACGCTAAATTGGAAGAAGCTGAGAATCTACCTTGATGAAAGGTAATTTGCATTTCTGAAGACATCTCCTATTCATTTTCAATGTATAGCACCATTCAACAGTGTTTTCCTTGTATTGCTGTAATTTTAAAGATGTAAAAATGAAGAGAAAACTATGCAACTAAGTGATACTGCTGCTTAATTTGAACAGTTACTCAGTTCAAGGATTTATGTGATTATAGCGTTGTATCAAACCCCTGATGATACCACCTATTACTAGTAAGTCTAACATCCTCTGCTTTTTCTGCATTTTTGTGGTTCTGGGAATAAATTGTTACAAAGTTATAGTGAGCATTTAAACTGCACAGGTTGATCATTGTGCTCTAGGACATCAAATTTTATAGATACTTTGTTGCTTTTTTGACTTGAGGTTTCTGGTTTTTTTCCTGTCTAGTACAGATGTTAATCAGAAGAAGCAGTTATTGCTTTACCAAGTGATGATAGCTTTTTAACAAATGTTGAGTCATCTAGTTGTTATTTGGTTGTCTGATATTTCTCAAATGGAAGTCACACCCACCTCCTGAGATGCAGTAGAGCATCCTCCTGGAGCTAGCCTGAGCTGCAGTAGGGCACACTCTCCCTGCTTTTGCATGCTCTTTTACCTCCACAACACTTTCTCTTGCCCTCCAGGATACCTTCAGGTTGGGGTAGTGCAGTATGAGGAAGGAGGAGCACCAGTACCTTCAAGACAAGTTGAACGAGGAGGAGAGGAATAACTGGACCTAAGTGGGAAGAGCAGAGGGACAGCTGCGCTTCCAGCAGGAACCCTCTCCCGCTTCTCATCCTCCTCAGCCTGTACCACTAAAGGAATGGAAGGAGTCAGTCTGTAGTGTTATCACCACTGACAGTCTTGTGCTGTAAAACTTCAGATTGGCAATTTTTTTTGGCAATAGAAAAATTACAAGCAAGCTGATATTAGCAACCCCTATTGCCATTCATCTTCCTGTCGTAAGCAGAGTGTAGTCAGGCACTAAAATCAGTGCATGCATTTAGGTCTCTAAATATTGAAACTCCCTCTGAAGTACTGAAATGTTTCATAGAAAGATAAACATAACAAGACTATTCTTCGGTTCACTTCAAATTTGCTTCCAAAATTTTCTTCAGAAGTCTTTTGCCCCTCTGTTCATATAGGCTAATCTGAATCCATTAGATGTTTCTTTTGTTCAGCATTGCACCACGATGGACTTAGACTTTAAAGGGATTTTGTGAGCAAATTTTATCTAACTTAAGCCTGGTTTTAACAGGATATTCCTGTAACAGCATCTAGCTAGGCACCAAAATGTGTGACACACATGAATCTATTTCCTTTACATTTTAAGGGCTTTGTCAGACAGCATAAAGGAAGCAAAGCCTCTATGTAGACTGTGATTGAACATGCATATAAAGAAACTTAGAATTCTCATTATTGTATATTTTTGTAGTATTTGGCTACTGTTGTGTCTGATTAATGTGTTTATATTACTTATGTGGTGTTAGTAATTTTTCTTTATCTTTCAGAAAAAAAAAAAAAGTTTATAGACTCCTCTAAGGCTTCATTTCAGTTTTTAAAACATACATTGTCAAACAGTTAAAAGAAACTTCTCTAATTATGTGGGATTTTATCCTACCAGGCGAGACGTTTTGGATGACCTTGTGACGCTGCACAACTTCAGAAATCAGTTCTTGCCAAATGCACTGAGAGAGTTCTTCAGACACATTCATGCTCCTGAGGAGCGTGGGGAGTACCTTGAGACTCTCATAACAAAGTTCTCTCACAGATTCTGTGCTTGCAACCCCGATTTGATGAGAGAGCTTGGCCTTAGCCCTGGTAAGCAAAAAAAGTGCTTGTATTCAGTGGGTCCATCTTTGTATTTATGGATGATGATACTGTCAATAGTTTTGAGATCAACACCTAAACAAGTATTTCTGAAAGTACAGACGTGGCTTGTGAGAGTTCAGTATACAGATATCATCCCACTTGGATTGGAAAAAAAAAAAGCAAAAATAACATACAGATTCCTTTCTTAGACCTTGCTGATAAGTGGGTTTTATTTTCATGTTATCTTTCCTTCACTTTTGTCTGTGCTTAAGCTCTGTACTTTCACGTCTCCTCTTAAAAAGTCTTAATACACTTAACATTTTACCTTGTGGATAGTTCAACCAAAACAAGAGGGAATTAACAGACAGACCAGCAGCCAAAGTCCTCCCTCCACTCCCACATCACACACCAGAGACCCAAAGTGCCAGACAGCCAGAGGGAGGAACAAGTCAATGCACTCACCCACCACAGGGGACATGAAGAAGGGAGCAAGCCAGGCAAGGAGCCAAGCCATGGGAGATGGTAGCAGCCAGGCCATGAGCCCAGTTATATAGTAGGGACTCAGAGACAGCTTCATGTACTAGCCCTGTTATCCTGGGAACTCCACTTTCTGTGAAGAATCAGGGAGCCCTTCCAACAGCCCAAATCCCCACACAACCAACTCCACTGCAAGCAGTCGGTTCTCACAGAGGTGGCTTCTTGTCCCACCTCCAAGTTAATGTGGAAAGTGGGGGCACCTGGTGGTGATCTCCTCATCAGTTCCCACCCAAGGCTGGCCAGACCCTGGGTGAAAACCAGTCAGGAGGGTCTTTCTTGCCTTTGTTGTGGACATCATCCATATGCCAACCCTCATTCAGGGCTGGGGGTTTAACCCAGCACTTCACTCAAGTTAACAAACATTGATGTTGGGAGCCAGTTTTCAACAGTGGGACTGCTTACATATCTGAAGATAAGCTTTAGCTTTAAGCATGTTTGCCTTAGTTTAGAAAACCACCAAGAATCTGTTTAAATTAATGTGCATAAAGCACTTAGTGACTTTAGGATAATGTAGAAATATTAAGAGTTTTGAAAATGCTCATTTGGCAATGTGCTTATATTTTTACTTGGAGCATTGCTATATTGAATTTTATTTCACTGGGATAACCTTTTTAGTTGCACAGGTATCTTTATATATAATTATAATCTTAGTTGATGAAAGCTGCAAGATTCTTGGACAGGAAACAATATTTTTAATGATCACAGTTTCCTTTTTAACTTTTTTTTCTCTTTCTTGTCTAGATGCAGTTTATGTACTGTGTTACTCTTTGATTCTGCTTTCCATTGATCTAACAAGCCCTCACGTGAAGAACAAAATGTCAAAGAGGGAATTCATCCGAAATACAAGACGAGCTGCACAGAATATTAGTGAAGATTTTGTAGGGCACCTTTATGACAACATCTACCTTATTGGCCATGTGGCTGCCTAAAAGCACAATTTGGTAGCACTTAAAATTTGTAATTTTCAAAAACTACATCAAGTAATTAATTATTTTGTAGAGATGGGGGTTATTTTAGTGCTGGTCATTCTAACCTCTGTATGCAATCAAAGTTTGTGTGTGTAAGTGTGTGTATGTGTAAACTACCTTTTGGATCTATTTACCATGGGAACAGAAGGATTCAGAGTTTTGTTTTTCATTTTTATTTTTTTTTAGTTTGTCACAAAACAATGCCATTAGTCTGACACAGCCATTTACAAATGTTAAACTGACATTACCATCTAAGCTGACAAAGTGATGAATTTGTGCATTAGATCTGCCTGAAACTTTAATAAGTTCATTCTTTTTAGAATACCATGCAATGTTTATATATTTAACTAAAGAGATTTATAATCTTATTTTATTGTAAAATATTTTAACTAAAATTTTTCCTTTTATCTCTTAAAATAGTGTTGTACTTCTTTCTTTTGCATTTTTTTTACAGTGCTCTCTACCTCAGATACGTAAGTTAGAGAAACATTGCTCTGAATACTGCAATAAAGTTTATTCTAGACGTTAGAACACTCATAAAATGTCTAAGCTGATATTTAATACTATATTGACTTAACTTGAATTAGCATATTGCCAATCAGCTATTCACTCAATTTTAAAGAAGATTACAATCACTGTTTCAGATGAACCCTGATGTCTTACCGGGATAGCCTAGGGAAATCATGCACTTTACACAGAGAGAGCTAACTGACATTGCAGAGATTAGCTACTGGGGACACAGGCCAACTCCAGTCATCTATTCAGCATGGTAAGCAAGGAAAAATCTCAACAGGGAAAGTGTCAGGGGCGACCAACGTGTTGCTGCTTTCAATTGCTTCCCTCGGTCTGGAAGTGCCAGTGATGGAAATGCCTCGGCAAATATGTACCAGATGACTCATTGCTAAAGCTGTAAAAACTGACTGTGCAAGATGAGCTGTTAAAAACTGACTGTGCAGTGACTGTGCAGGGTTGGAGAGCCATTTCAGAGCCAGATAATGAATTATCCTTTCTAGGTCTGTCATGTAGCTAGATTTTAAATAGTTCTAGATTTATGAAAATAACTGCAAAAATTAGTTCGGTCGGGGTGTGTCTTACGTTTTCTGAAGTGTGTCTTCAGAAGTGCAACTGTTGTGCATATGCAGGAACTGAATGAGGATTTGCCTGGGATTTGTTCAGATAACTCGTAGAGCTGCTGATAACTCTTCTTAAATTGACATAACATGTAGTTGAAATCAGAGCTGTTCATTATTAAGTTTGTTTACATAATATGCAATTATCACCAGCAGCTAGACTCATCGTTGAAACAAGTAGATTTCTCCCTTTTCCCAGCTACACTATGAGGTAGGAAGACATTCTTAGTTCTGTTTTACAGGTTAATCTGATTTTTTTATGACAGAACCAGGGATTGAATGCAGGTCATACTCCTAATCATGCACTTTGCCCATGCTGCTGCTTTCCATTTGGCACCTAGGGGATGTTATATTTGTCTTAGATGTGGGAAGAGTGATGACAATGACAGTCCACATAAGGGCTACATAAATGACAGGAAGAAAAAAAGAGTAGCTACTGTTGCTATTTCAAGTGTTTAGAACATTTTATTTCTAGGTCTAGTCCACATGCAAAAATGCACCCAGAAAAAGCTGTAATTGTTTTTATCACGTTACCTTTAATCAAATGTAAATGCAGTTTGTATTATTTGTGTAGCATACACAACCAAAGCCAGGAGCCAGCACTATTGGAGCTGTCTTCCAGATAGGTTTACAGTATCACTCCCCTCTCTCAGGATAACTTCTCATGACTTCACCCTGAGTCATTTCATGCATTTCAGAAAGCCTACAGATGCATTCCATAGTGGTCAGTTAATCTCAAACACAAATAGAGTGTATGGTGTGTTGGGGAGCTTTGTTTAAAGCACAGGTATCTGGTCCTGGGGAAAAAAAAAAAAGACAAAAAAAAGAAGATAAGATGGAAAACTTTTTTAACCTGTAAAATCAGCAATAAAGTTTAAGTATCTCTGTGCTCCTTACAGTGATCTTATATGAAGGCTGCAGAATATGGCTTTCTAGAAAGCACTCCTCAGAAGTTATACTTGTAAAAGGAATTCACTGAATCTTGAAATTACAACTAATCTGATGAGGAAATGTTTTCTTCTCAAACCATAAATGCAGAGCAAAGCCTAATTATCTCCTGACTGGTATTTCTGTTGACATTAGCAATACTGGTTTTGATTTTGTGCTGATTCAAGAGTACGAATTGTTAATCTGAATTTCTCTTAATTTCCAGTTACCCTCATTTCCCGTCATCAAACAGATAGAGAACAAAGCCTCCAGGCAGACAGAACATGCTTTTTTTTTTCTGGAAGAGACGAGTACATCTATTAACAAAGTTTAGAAAGCTTCATGACCAGTGTAACAGCCAAGAAGATAAATTAGAAACAGGATGATACGATTAGAGTTGCCGTAAGATACCATTCCAGGGGAAAAGAAAAAAAAAAAACAAAACAACCAAACCCTAATCACATACAGATAACAGCCTCTGATCTTCACAGTAGAGCTTTGAACAGTGTTGGATGGTTAGCACCCAGCTCGTGCTGTACATTACGTTGCCAGCTCGGAGTGGAACAGAAAACAGCAAATGCAGCGTGCCAGGAGTGAATTCCCTCAGAGGTAACCAAGAAACAAAAAATTTCTTCTGTCCTTTTGAAGTTTGAGTCTTTCTCCAGAGCAGCAGAGAAGTATTTTTTTTACATCTTAAAAATCTAGACTTTTCATTCATTTAGGCAATTTTGTCTTAAAAAAAAAAGCCTTAAGTAGATGTAACAATACTCTTGCAAAGTGATCAAGTTTGAATTCTCTTCATCATCCTCCAAAAGCTAAGTTTTGGGCAGTGTCTTCTTCAATGCACTATTGGTGTCTTCACATACCTTTTAAAAGAAAATAGGCATAGATGCATCATTGATCCAGGACTCACTAGATGATGTGATGTGGAAATAGCTACTTGATGAAGCACTTTAGGAGACTTAGATAGAGGATCCCAAGCCTAATTACATGAGCATGATCAGAACTACAAAGCACCACTGCACAGCCTTTGAACTGTGGCCACGTGATGTTGCTTTCACACTAACTGTCCCCAGCACTGAAAGAAGAAGTGCACTAGCATCCCATCCCCCTGCAAACACTAGTTATTCTGGTCCTGAAAGATACTGAAGCTGTGTTCTGAATGGCCATGTCTGAAATTCTGCTAACTTTGGTATACACAGATGTGACAGAAGGACAACTGGTCTTTGTTCGTGTAG